ATCACAACCAACTGCTCTGATGCTAATATTTATCCCTTACACCCTAAGCCAACTGGCTAAACCACTACAACCACGAACACAACTTGTCCCTAGTGTAGTTGTGGAGAAAAACTTCCAGCGTCCAGTTGGTTCACTTAGTCTAACCATCAGACTAATGGTGATAAGCTGTGGAGAAGTTCAGCTTCACTCACAAATGGTGAAAGGTTGCAGTCCAAAATGCACTAAAAAAATTAGTGTCGTGATCTGACACAACGTCTAATGGAAGACCATGATGCCAAACTACCTCAGACCAAAAGGATTCAGCTGTCTACTATGCCAAGCTAGTTGAAGATGTAGGAATAAAGCGTGCCACCTTAGAAAAACGGTCCACAACAACAAAAATAACATTGAAGCCATGGACTGAAGGGAGGCCCATAATGAAGTCCATAGAAATACTATTCGAAGGATGAAGAAGCAACAGACCTGGTGTTGCAACTATCTCAGCTTTTTGTGTTTGGCAAGTTGGACAAGCTCGTATCCATTCACAAACTTCCCACTAGAGTCCCTTCCAGTAAAACCACAATTTGATTGCAGCTATTGTCCCCCAAACACCAGGATGTCCTGCCAAAATGCTTGTGTGACACTCCTGGAAGATCTCCTTGCATATGAACTGACTATAAGACCCTTTTGCCATAATAAGTTCTCATGATACATCAGCTTGTCATGCATATAGTCAGGATTGTCACGAAACTGTTGCCAGATACCTGAAACTGTCAGATCCAACGAGTGGCCTTTGTGAATCTTATCAGCATACATTGCTTCCCATCTAGAAATACTAGACAATCTTGATGCTTCAATACGTTCAAATTGTTGTGATAACACACCAAGAAGGATGTTGCTTTTCCCTGGCCGAAACTCAATAGTGAAATCCAATGCTTGCAGTTGCTCCACCCAATACTGCTATTTCTTGAACAAATGTTGTTGCTCCAAAATAAATTTGAGGCTGTGATGGTCTTTCCGGAATGTAAACCATCAAGGCAACAGATAGTGGCGCTAGTGACCAATTGCATGAATAACTGTTGGCATTTTCTATTCATACATTGGTAACCTAGACTCCTGAATAGAGAAACGACGACTATCGAAGGCCACCAATTCCTCTCCTTGGTGGAGAACCATCGGAATAGGAAACTTGTTCTTGATGGTTATCCTATTAAGGGCCCTGCAATCCACCACCAATCTCTATGGACTGTCTTTCTTAAGAACGAGAAGCACTGGGGATGGGAATGGATTAATGCTTTCCTCCACCAACCCTTCCTGTTTTAATTCCTCCACCATGGCATCAACAATGGCTCATTCCTCCCAGCTTAGACGAATTATCAGAGAGTTAACTATGATGGAGTACAGTTCTAACTCAATCCAATGTGTTATCCTGGTAACTTCACTAGAACAATTACTAATCTTCTGAGTAAAAACACAGGCATGCTGGGTCACCACTACCTTAATATCTACATGCATGGAAGAAGACTTTATGTCTGCCATTGCCCCCTCTACCTCGACTGATATGAATGGTTCACCCTTCCCACAAAGACTTGAGTCTAGATGCTCGTCACTAGCAACCAAATTTATTGCATTACCACTTTCTTTACTGCTTTCTTCGAGTGCAGTTTCCGATATAGTCAAGTCCTCGTTGCTTTCTTCACAGTGTTGTCCCATTTTCTTCACACCTGAACTTAAATCTTGAGCTAGAAACCCGCTACTTTCTTCACAGTGTTGTCTTGCTTTCTTCACACCCATCTTTAGCTGCCCACCTTGACCCCCGCTGCTTTCGTCGCAGTGTTGTCCTGCTTTCTTCACACCCGGGTCGGAAAGATGCAACTCAGCTATCTTTTTTTCTTGAAGGTACAAAAGGTTGGGCTCCTTCCAAAAAGCTCTCTACTGTCTCCAACAACCCTTCATGTCTATGATAGATCAAGCACTCATTACCACCTCGTAAAAGTCTCTGGCACTGGGACACAGTTACATGCTAAATCTGTTGCTTTGGTGGCACCCATAACCATTCAATGTGTTGTCCCTCAAAGGTGAAGGCTAATCGTTGAGTAGCAAAGTTTATGGTGATATCACCAAAACGTTCAAGAGTTTGAACTCCCAAAACGAAGTCAATGGCCCCATGTCCCTGACATAAAAGTGCTCCACCAACGTGAAGTTGTTCAACACCAAGTGACAAGATATAATCTAATTCACTTGGATAACACCCCATTGGCAATCTCCACATCCAATTTGGAGCTGGTTTGGTTGTCAAGCAAAGTTTGGTCAGTGAACGAGTGTTCACAAAGGAATGTGAAGCTCCTGAGTCTACCAATGCAAATGCTTGACAACCTGAAACTGTTCCTATTACCCAAATGCACTGTGGTCCTATCTTCCCCAAGAAGGATGGCAGTGAAATGGTGGCTTCTTCTCCTGGAACTTGAGATGACACTTCACCCTCCCAAACAAAAATCTCTTGTTCTAAGTCCAAGTCCTCAAAAGTCATAAAAATGAGATCTCCCTTGCCATTTTGTTGGAATTGAATACTTGTCAACCTGCCCCTGCTTGCTCCTGGTTGCTGACCTGTTTAAGCCTTACAAACCTGTCTATGTCCCCATTCCCATTTTGCTCCGCAATCAAAACACTTGCCCAACTTCATGTCTTCCAATCATTTGAGCCGTTGTTGTGGGGGAAGCGAATGGATGAAATGGCACTTGTTTCCATGCAGTTGATGACAATCCATTGCTTGATGGCTTGCTGATTTCTGCCATGCTCCGAGGTTGCAAACGAGGCCAATCAGAATGTGGTTTACTTGTTGACTCCCACTCCTTGTATTTGAGGTCTGCATTCAAAAATGAGGTGGTTCTTGATCGAGACTGGCCTAGATTTGAATTGGAAGGGTTGCAGCACTGCTTGCTACCGCTGGAGACGATCTGATGCCCCTGCTGCTACAAGGGAAGGCTTCCTTGGGCTGGAGATTTGCTGATGCTGCCAAGAGGCTTCTCTTCTTGCTGGGCACTAGGCGTGGAATTGCTGTGCACAAGGGCCTTGAGGCTGATGGAGAGATCACATTTGAGTGGGGGAGATGGAACAAAATGCTGGTTCCTGATACAAGCTGGGCTGCGTGCAAGCTTGGGTACTTTGGAACGTGCTGTTACTCTTGTTCAACACCACAAGATGCTGATTTCACAAGCTCAGCTTTTCTCAGCTGAGTGGGGGGAGTGAGATAGGTTCACAGTGGTTTAGCATTAGTTTCTTTTCTGATCCAGCCTTCGCACACTGATCTCGGCTGAGTGGGGGTGTGAGGATGTAGTACATCCGAGATCACCATACGGCTGAGACACGTGGTGACACGTGGTGGATCTGGAGAGTCACAACTCTCACCTCTGTATGTATAGCGATGATGATATCTGAGCAATAGAGTTTTTCTCTTCTTCCTTAGTTTTTCAACAGGTTTGCTGCTTCTCCACTAGAAAACGTATCGCTGCTATACTCTCATTCTATCGATCCGCTAATGACTGGACTGAAACTTGCATGTCCTGGATTGTAGCTGTGACCTGCTGTTGGTGAAGAAGATTCTGCTCAGTCAGTGCTTGCATAGTCAATTCCAGTTGCTGGATTATCAATCTTTGCTCTTCCCTTTCCCCTTCTTGGTCATGCACCTGATCTGGATCGGAATCTCGCTCTAGCTCCTCATCCATTAGTGTGGTGGCCTTGTTCTTGGCCTCATGTTTACAATTCTGCCAAAGATGCTGGAGAAGCCATTTGCAAAGAAACCCTATTTCGCCATAGCACCCATACAAGATGATATTAATGTTGATGTTGTTGTTGTTGTTGCTGTGCTTGATTTGGCCATCACCACCTTGCTCCAAATCATTCATCTCTGAAAGGGATAACTGACTCTAAGTTGGTTACACTACCAATCTGTCCAATTAACTAGCTGAAAATGACATTTGCTTGGAACCAAAATCCTTTTCAGGTTTGCCTCCGTTAGCCCTATCCTTCACCATGATGCCAAACCCTTGCCTAGTACACCTAATATAATTGGTAATGTTGCTCTGATACCACTATTGAGATTTGCCCAGATCTCCTGGCAGGAATCACTGATATATTCCATGGAAGAGAAATACAGAGGAGGAAAAGAGAGAAATCGGAAGAGGGGAGAAGAAAATAGAACCCCAAAAATATAACCTACCTTCTATACCATGTTTTATTAGGAATCCTTGCCATACCTTGCTCACCAAGTCTAAACTGTCCAGGCTAAAACCATCCAAGGAAGACAATGAGATTGCGTCCTAACAATCTCAGACTTGGCCTTGGATTCAATCTTAGATTTGGTCTCAAACCTAATCTTGGATTTTGGATTCGGTCTCAGACTTGATTTCAGACTCAGTCTTGGAATCGGTCTTGGACTTAATCTCGGAATTGGTTTCACCTAATGAGCTCTTTATTATTCCAGTCATGATTTTAGAATCCTTTAGCCTATGATATTTCAAGGAGTTTGGTTCTTTATACAACACTGGCACCATTAATAAAGTTGATGTCGAGGAGTACAAACCCCTAGACAAAGTCCCTAGGCAATTATAGATTTTTTTTATACTCATTTGTCTTGGTGTTTTTGGAGTTCCCTTCCACATATTTTAGTGTAATATACAGAAACAAAGAGTGAACAAGAAGAGTGAGTGCTGTACTATATTATTTTCCCCAAGTTAAACCATCTTGTTTGATGTTAATGGTGGGGAGAAAGGAAGTGCCAAAAAGAGATTTGGGTTACTCTTACCATAAAGTTAATAAAAAGAAGAGGGAGGTGTAAAAACATCAAGTGTAATAGTTTATTCAAAAGGTTTTAAAGCAAGAAGTGCTTTGAGACGGAATATAAACATTGCTGAGGTGGGATAGAGTATGCTTGCAACCAAGACAAAGTCAAGATTATGGGTTTTCTTTTGTTTTAGGTTAAGTATAATTAATTAGTTAGGGGGTTATGACCTTTTGGGATCATGATGGATGAAAACTATGATATTAATTGTGAGAGACAAAATCCAGCTTTGAAAGAGCAAGTGGGAGGTATGATGGAAAGCAATATTAACACCACTGATGAGGTTAGTGCCGAGGAGGACAAACCTGTAGTGATAATTAACACTAGAGCATGAGGAAGTTCAAGTCCCTAGGTAACAATAATTTTTCCATACTCACTTGTCTTGGTGGTGGTGGTAGCACTGCCTCCTTGTCAAATAGCATTGTAACGAAACAAGTGCCAAAGATCCTGTCCTCAACACATGTTGAAGCACATAAGTGATGCTTTCAGGACTATGTATGTACACATTACCTTTGCTCCTGATCAATTTTGACTGATTCTCATGGATAGCAGCCCTGAAGACAGATTGATGGGCCTGATCAATAACAAAGACTGAAATGGTCATACTGTCTATAATAGGCAGCAAGGTATCTTCACAACTGCACTATATCTTGCTGCGGAGGCTAAGAACACTTCTGCAATATCCTGGCTGCTCAAATGGTCTCCGACTAAGGTAAAAGACATCTTAGAAGCAGATTCATCCAATTATGGTACTACAGCTCTGCATGGAGCTGCCACTATTGAAAACCCTGCCATTGTTTTAAAATTGCTTGAGGAGCTGAGTGATCATGCAAAGCAAGTTAATGTTGTTGATAAAGATGGCAATACTCCCTTGCACACTGTTGTGAAACGACAGAACGTGAAAGTGATACAAGCGCTCTTACGGACAGGTGCGGATCCATGCCAAAAGAATATCAAGGGGGAGGCGCCATTACACATTGCAGTCAAAAAAGGTGGCAACCTTGAAGTTCTGCTCTACCGCGTAGCCGAGGTGGACACCCCTGACTTGGAGAAGGGCCAGACTCCTCTGCACCTTGCAGTCATAATGCACCTGCAGCTTATAAAGGAGTTGGAGTGAAAGGAGTTGAAGTTAATGTTGAGAGTAGATGCTCAGGTAGATGCTTCGCTAGGCAGTTGCCACAGCCTGTGTATATATAGCTTCATATATACAATATGAGCAGTCGCTGCCTTTTGTATCATGGTATCGGAGCACAGATCTTGAGGACCTGTGAAGGATGAAGAAGAAGAAGAAGCTTCCAGATGCCAATGGCAATGGCAGAGTAGCCTAGAGCGCAGCAACAAAGCAATGGCAGAGCCATACCAGCAGCGAGGAGTGGCAGATAGTAGCGACTCAGAAGCCCTGGAGCGGCAGAAGATGCTGATATGCTCCAAGAGAGGAGCAGTAGAGCAGCCAAGAAGCCCAGGAGCAGCAGAGCAGTGACTCAGCAGGTCTAGAAGCAGAACGGCAGCAGGAGTGGCCAAGATGCTCGAAGAGAGGAGCAGCAGCAGCCAAGTGAGCGCGGCATATAGCAGTGGCAGAGTTGGCTGAGAAGCCCAGCAGTGGCAAAAGAGCTCCAAGAGAGGAGCAGCAACAGCCAAAGCAGCGATGGCAAAAGAGCTCCAAGAGAGGAGCAGCAACAGCCAAAGCAGCGATGGCAAAAGAGCTCCAAAAGAGGAGCAGCAACAGCCAAAGGAGTGATGGCAAAACAGCCAAGAGTGGCAGAGGCAGCAAACCCTAAAGCAACAAGATGTAGTCACTTTGAGTGGGAGTCAGTGTCAGTTGTATGCATGTTGAGCATTTTATGTTCAGGCTTTGTCTCAGTTTGTAGACACGCCTGAGTGGGAGTGTTGAGAGTAGATGCTCAGGTAGATGCTTCGCTAGGCAGTTAGGATGATGTGGCATTAGGCAGTTGCCACAGCCTGTGTATATATAGCTTCATATATACAATATGAGCAGTCGCTGCCTTTTGTATCAGTTAAAGGAGTTACGCATAAGGCAGCGGGAGCTTTCCCGTGTGGAACAACATCTACAAGACAGCAGGACATGATTGTTCTGCTGATTGCCAAAGGTGCTGATCCATGCCGAAAAGACAAGGAGGGAGAGTCTCCATTGCAGCTTGCGGAGTTACAAGTGAATGAGTCGGTTTTTCAACTGCTACTGCACACAGCCTTGAAGCCACGATTCCAAAAGGCTTTCTCAGTGGAAGATATCACGAGTAAGTCATAGAGAGTAAGTCCTTCTAACATCTGAAATTTTTGGGCAGATGCATTAGAGGAGCTACGGAACCAAGAAGATGAGGATTTTAGTGACAAACTGGAAGCTCTAAAATATGGTTGGAACATCCATAATGTTTATGCTGACAAAACCGCACTACACCTTGCAAGTGAATTTGGAAATGTAAGTCTGGTGAAAGCGCTGCTGAACCTCCATGAAAAAAGTAAGATTGACGTACGGAAGAAAGATGAACTCGGCAACACTGCTCTTCATTTCGCTGCTTCGATCATAGCAGGGGAGAGCCTTTGGATTTTGCTGTTCGCCAAGGGCAAGTCGAAATCGTCACAGCATTACTGGAAGCAGGTGCGGAGATTAACAAAAAGAATAAGCTTGGGCACACTCCTTTGCATTTTGCTGTTGGACAAGACAGAGCTGACATTGCTCGTAAATTATGCGACGAAGGTACTGATTTTGGTTTAGAAGAGGAGACAGGAGCTGGAGTATTGCACTTTGCTGCTAGAGGAGGGGGTAAAGATATCTTCGAGTTGCTGGCTCCGAGGGCCCTGGAAGTGAACCGAGCTACTAAAGCAGGTCTGACTCCGTTGCACTTTGCTGCCTGGAATGGGAACAGTGATGCACTCAAGTGGTTGCTGGATATTGAGGACATCAAGCTAGATGCAGAGGACAAGGTTGAGAAAGGACTGCCATGGCATTGGGCGGCTATGGGTGGCAACGGATACTGTCTTTTCTTACTCATACGTGAACATGTGGAAAGAAAGATACAGATGTTTCCAGGAAGTCACAAGGGCTGGCAGCGGGCATTCCAGCGTCTTGAAGTTCATGGTCAAGCCGACATAATTGATTGGGTGCCGTGGATTTTCCTGCGTAGCGATGGAGTGTTGGAGCCTGGTATATTGTCGTCTGCTGTTGCATATGGAGGCAGTGCAACGAATGAGCTATTAGCAAAGAAGTTGGGTACAAGAGAAACTGGGCCAGAGGACAAGCTTGTGGAGGAATCACGGCTACTGGAATGGGCTGCTTTGAGTGCCACTACCAGAAGCATAGAATTCGGTGGCAAAGGCCTGTTCAACAGAGTAAAGCCTGTGATGGAGTTCGTGATGAAGAAGTACACCAACGTGAAAGGAATCCATGATCAGCTCAGGTTAGCTTTTAAGATTGCTTTCTTGAATGGAGAACAGGATGAGCTGTGGGGAAGGGAGACCTTCGCAACCTGCATGGCAAAGTGCTTCACCTGGGAATTACCCAATATGATCAAGGAAGCTGTGTGGAAGAAACTGGACATTAACTTTGAAGAAAAATATCGAAATTTGCCAAGCAAGTACAAGTATGCCTTCGACGACGTGAGTGAACTGGTGAAAGATGTTCCTGTGGCTTATTGGGAGGCAAAACTTGAAGAAGACAGAAGCAAGGACAAGTACTTGAAGGAAGAGAACATCCAGGAAAAGACCTCTCTTACGTGGTTGCCCTTTTGCCACACTCACCCGGACATAGGAGGAAATGGCTGGCTCAACATTTGAAACAGTGGTCGGAAAAGTTCATTAAAGATTATCCCAATGACACAGGCTGCCAGACAGGTCGGACTGCTTTGCACTCTGCCAGACAGGTCGGACTGCTTTGCACTCTGCCAGACAGGTCGGACTGCTTTGCACTGGGCTGCCATCTTACAGGAGCGAGAGACAATGATTACCTTGTCTCGCAAAGGCTGCAAACCAGACATCTGCGATAACTTCGGCCAGCCACCTTACTGGGACGCACAATGGATGGGTAGGATGCTGTCATGCTGAACTACCTCCAGTGGAGCAGCTACATTAAGAGCTTGCAGAAGGACCGGCAGATGTTCGTGGATGGCTTAAACGCGATACTGGTTGGATCAGCTCTCATTGCCAGTGTCGCGTTCGGAGGCTTCTTGAATCCGCCACTGGGGTACAAACTTAAGTTCAAGGACAGGGAGTATGTGTCCGTCGACAGACCAGGTGTGGTTGTGTTCTGGGTTGCCAACAGTTTGTCCTTCTTTTTCGCCATGGCCAGTGCTCTGGCAGGAGTCACCGGGTCCTGCGTTCTCCTGACAAATTCAACCTGAGACTCCTTCGCCGTCTCCGACAAATACTCATTGCCGCAGCAGTCATGCTCGTTCTCTCCATCATCTTCGTCCTCGTGGGATTTGGAGCCGCAGGATTCTCAGAATTGCCACCTTCGGGAAAGTACCAGACCAGCATGATCGCCACTTCTGTCCCCGGGCGTTTGGTCTGCTTAGGTCCTGTCTACACGTTCATCTACGCAGTTTACAACCTGAATTCCCGGAAGCTCACAGCCCAGCAAAGCAGGTCAGGGGAGCGAAAAATACCATCTCGCAGCTTGTTGCTGCTCTGAAACGGTGCTTTAAAGTGCAAGATCATTCAGAGGTTGGGGGCATAAGCTTCGGCCGTGAAACGCTTCAAGAGCTTCTAAGTCGTCCTTCTCAGAGCACGCTTGAAGTTTCACCTCAGAGGCCGAAAAGGTATGCCCGTGGTCAGCGACCTTGGGAAGATGGTTTGGATTCCCTGGTTCCGCTTACTCAAACGTATGGTCAGACGGTCATAACAGTAACCCCAGATCCCTGAACCGAATCTAGTGGTTGATTCATGTGCTCAAGCTGAAACATTTCGAAATGCTCATCCGCTGCTCGACCAGACCATCACATCGAATGTATATCAGTGTGATCACTAAGATTATTCACAGAAAAGCTTTACCGTCCAAAGACGCTCCGCTCCGTCTTTGAAAACGTAAAGCCTCCATCGGACACTGGCCTTAAGCTAGAAATCAGAAGAAAGTGAGATCTTACCGCTGACTTTATTGGTCTCAGCTGCAGTGAAACGACCTTCTCCTGCATTGAAACAAGGATAAGCATCGCCACGCAGCTCTTTGGATCTGTCTTACCTTTACTTGTCAAAACATCCGAGCACGGTAAGAACCAAAAGCACGAAACAAAAAAAATAAAATAAAATCCATCCTCTCCCTAGTGAGCGCAAGAGGCAAAATCCTTAACCACAACAGCTCAAAATGGAAGAGATGACACACCATTAGACGTGAGGAAAAGAAGCTCCTCTTTCTTCTCTTCCACAGCTGCTCCTCTTCCTCTCGCCAATGTTCCGCCAGATCTTGTTTGCCACTCTGAAGGGCCTAGCCCACACCTTAGCACCTTCCTCATCCATTTTGCTACTTGAAGACGCTCGTTAGTGAGCTCCACTGGTGCCTCCTTGCGCTTGCTCTAAACTCTAAACTTTGTCCTTTCGCACCCTTACACCAGCACAGACCGTGACCGTCTGATCGTTGACTATTTTGACCATACCGTTGACTATATTCAATGCAATGGCGTGACGCTGTCAGCAAGGATAGGATAAATACCGAGAGCAACTGCGCACGGTTCAACCGCCATGATTCTCTCAGGACCATTTAGGAAAATATATCACCTTTTATGACATTCGCGGCACACTGGATAGCTCGAAGCTCTCCATATTTCATGTTGCAAGTCTTGTTTTAAAGCTTTAAGCTCTTCTTTGTCCTCACCCACAGCCATCTTCGATATAACGTCCGCAATAGCAGGGAATGTCGAGGTACCATAGACATTTGTTTGAGATCTACACAATTCTGAACATCAAACCTCTTACAATCAGATAAAATGCACTCACCAAGTGTTTGAACCATGGCTTCCCTGGAAGGCCTTCGCCATCTAGAAAACAGAGCTCTCCAAGCATCAAAATATCATTTTTACTTCTGGGTGCAGTGAAGGAAGGGATCTTGGAGGCAAGTTCACGAGGTTGATCCACCACAGAATGAAGTGGGAAGAAATTTACGTCGCGCGACTTGCTGAGGCTAAGTATATTAACCTGGAAAAACCCATGAGACAAATCTTCACCAAGCGAAAGAAGAAAAAAGAGAAAAGCTTACTGGATGACCCGAAATAAGCAGGAACCTGGCCTCCAAATCCTTTACAGCGACCTTTAAGAAACAATCCAACTCATGAAAAGCAATGATATAATCGCTAGTACCTCCAACACATTTGCATACGAGACATAGTTGAAAGGCAAGATCGTGTCCATGGCCAAGCGCCTCGCAAGCAGTCCCCAGACTTTCACCACTGGCACCAAAGCCTCGAAATCTTATAAAAAAGAATCAAAAGCAAAGTTTCACCTGTTGCATGGCGATGAAACTCAGGATCTCCAAAGTTTTTCATCCAGTTGTAATTGTCATAGAGTGAATGATACACGGGAAAATCTGAGTTTTTTTCTTCGTACGTCATGCTGGTGGAGGGAATTCCTGCGTGCTGCAAGAATGGAGCGTAGTCGGAGCCACCACCGCCCAGCCTCCCGACCTGAGTCCATCAAACCATTAATATGGAGCAGAGGAGATGATAATGATAAATTCTTTGTCTCTTACACAATCGTTTGATTTTCCACACCACGAGTCAAATATGGTTCCATTTGAGTCTGGATCTTTCACCTTGAGACAATCAAAATGCCATGAGCTGCAAAAAGAAATGGTAAGATTTGCGTACCATTTTGGTGACTTCGAATAAAAGGTTGTCAAGCTGAGGCGTAGCAGACGCTGAGAAAGAACTGCCTGTTACTGCTTCATCCACGTTTAAATAAGCCACCGCTCGAGCCTTAAGCATGGCCAAATTGTCCTCGACCCACTCTGTAGAACCAGTCTATTAAGAGAAGAAAATTTATGAGTAAACACGAAGATGATAGAGATACAAAGGATTACCACGGCATCCCAGCTGCAAAATACGATTGTGCTCGCTGGTCTTCTCAGAAGCTGTCCAAAGATGCGAGCTATCTAAACACTCGCAAAAACATGAAAAGTTCCTTTGAGGAATAACATACCTCCAAAAGGCAGGCAGTTCCGCTGTTTGGATCGCTGGCTCCATACGTCCAAGCGTCTCGGTGATTCCCAGGAAGCACATATCTATGTGTCAAAGCTTTAGAAAAAATACACTAATGCTATCTTTCTCAGAGCCTTCTATAATTCCAAAAACGTTACGAATTGTCGCAGTGGTCAGGTTAGCCTGCCAGGAAGTACTAGTGCTCAAAAGCTTTAATATTTTTTTTGCAAAAGTTACCTCGTAGCGAAGATCAAGTTTCACAGGTCCTTTCCCAGCTCGATACGCGTCCACCGCAAGTCCTCCTTGCCAGGAATCAGGAGCAACAGGGCCTCCTAGCGCCTCGTTGATTGGAAGAGCGTCGCGAGCGGAGATTGGCAGCACGGCGATCGCTGGAACTCCCAGCCTTGTCAAGTTGGAAGCGTCCAGTCTCTCGGAAAGCTTGCTACTCGGCCACCCCGGCGTGAGAGGATCCCCGGGGTCCTGGATCACGAAGCCTCTCTGGACTCCACTTGGAGGCAACCATCGCGAGAATGGATAGTAGCCTTCAGTGGTAGCGTTCGTGGCGTAGTCTCGAGGATCCGGATACAAAACCACGGCCACTGCGCCTTCCTCCTGCGCGTTAAACACGATATCCCCTCGAAAGCTTTTGCCAAGCCTGGCGATCACCACGCTCCCTCTCACCTCCACTCCCAGGCTCTTGAGCTCGTCAAAATCGGATTTTTGGCCGTAGTTTGCGTACACCACCTCGGCAAGAGCTTCCCCAGACGGCGAGTAAGCGAAGAAAGTTGGAATGACTCCAGAGGAATCGCCATCGCCATCCACGGTCTCTTCGTCAAGAGCCAAGCTGAGTGACGAGTTGCTTGGGTAGACCACGGACAACGATCGCTTCAAGGGATACGAGACGAGTACCTCGTAGTCGACCGTGCGCGTCGAGAGCCCAAACTCGCGGAATCTCTCCTCGACGAACTTGGCGGTGGCGAATCCCTGCGGCGTCCCCGCGACGTGGGGGTGGAGCGTGAGGTTGTGGAGGAAGGCGGCGATGGACCGAGTGCTAACTTGGGTCACGAAGAACCAAGCCGGGAGCGAGCTCAGGTAGAGATTGATCGCGATGATCGCGACGAACAGCAGTAAAATGTGGGTGGCGAGAGTGCCAAACATCTCTTTCTTCGAGCTCGTACTTAAAAATCTTCTCTTCTCTCGCAAGAACCCTACCTGATAGTGGGATCCAAGTCATATCATAAGCTAATCTCCCTGGATTTGTTTAGGAGTGTGGATATGGTACTCCCAGGCCACGGAGGTACGCTTTTATCCCCCACACCTGCGAATCTTGTAATCAAACAAGTTCTTTCTCGCTCGTCTCCTCTCCTTCCCAATCTTGGTCTTGTGGCGGCCAAGTTCTCTCGCAAATCTGGACGCCATCTTTTTTTCCACTCGCTCGAGGCTCGCCTGTGCAGCTATAACATCCGCTGCTGCTGCTCTAGCCTGATCTTTATCATCATTCTCGCCTTCTACTTGACAACCTTGATCTAAACCTTCTTCTCTGTCTTCGTTGCCAGCCCCTGGTAAGACTATCATCGGCTGCGTGGCTTGAGCGGGCTCTCTGTCTTCTTTGAGAAAGTGGTACCTGGAAATGTATTGCCCCAGCCTGTAAACTTGTGAATCCAAAGCCCGTTGGATGTGGTGCCTAGAATCGGCCTGGAAAAACAAAACAGCAAACTCGTCAAAGAAGAACAAGAGGAAAAAGAAAAGAGCAGCAAATTTACATTTCTCCTGTCGACAGCTTCCAAAGTTGGAGGATAGAGCTCCTCTGGTGTCTGGTAGTTCTTACCACGAAACATAATCACCGTCCTGTCCTCAAGGACATCGAGCACGATGCCTCCACTCAATCTCGCTAGCTCGGCACCGATTCTCCGCGTCTCCTCCATGCTGTTGTGGCGGGGTGATCCTCACCGTCTCATGGAACTTCCAGTTGGTGTGGATGTTGTGAATCACACCTCCGTAGATCCCACGCTTACCGACGGACGCAAACTTCTGGTTTTTGTTTCCAATCCTTGCGTAGTGCGCCGCCTCTCTTTCACTCAGAGGCTCCGTTTCTCGCAAGCAATGGTTTCCTTCGGTAAGATGGGACGAATGCTTTCGCCGGATCTCCGTCCTGTTGAGATCGATCGTGTACAAAGCCTGGAAGAAACGATCGAAAGAAAATACATAAATAAAAGCAAATAAGAAGAGTGCTCCTTGGAAAATAAGAACTTCTAAGACGTAACCTTCGGATCTTTACTTCGAGAAACTCCTTCTCGGTCTTGGGAGCACGGTTCTTGTCCTCCTCCCTTCTCTTGCGAATCTCCTCTCGGATTTGCTGCTTGACGAGCTCCTTGACGAGATTCCTCTTCTTGATAGACAGCTGCTGATCGTGGTCCGGATTCTCATCCTGGCGTTGCTGCTCAGTCGCTAGATTCGTCTGCCTCGCTCCAGACAGAACCCTGCGATAATTTCCACTCCATCGGGCCTCCACATTCCCGGCATTCTTCCTACGCGGCAACAGGCTGTGCTCCAGTGGCGGCAATGCGCCGATCGCCATATCAGGGAAAAGGAGCACATAAACCCTAGACCCGACACTTTAAAAATGCATCAGCCGGCGGGTCTATTGCTTGGAAGGCAATTATCCTAACCGTTGGACTACTGATGCTTATTACATTTAAAGTAAATGAAACAACCTTTAGACTTCTTGGATCATTTTCAAGAACATAGAGAGATTCTCGGTCAAAATTTACTTTACATCATTTGCTCAGACATATCACTCAAGCGTAAGGAGTGCTTCTAGGTGCAGAATTCCACCTTCTGCGGTTTATGGCATTCACATTGATGAAGGGAGGAGCTCTGAAAACTGAAAATCTGAAAAAACATACATGAAATCGGCATCGACAGGATTTTTGTACATGGACTTAAATGGAATTTCTATCGTTGGTGTGCACCATTGCCAATTTATCTCTAAAATATTTTTCGTTCATCACAACTATACGCATTGAATGTTACAGACTTTGAAGACATTTGCAAGGCTTGTGACAGCGTTGCCTCTTGATCCACTGATCACTAACGAGCACAGAGAAATCCTATTCTCCTAAACGTAATTGCGGCATCCAATCTTGTGGTTTATTGTCCTGGGAAAGGTTTCCAATCTCTCAAGTTGCGAGGCACATTCCATGTTGTCGGCACTTGTAATTGCTAGAGCAAGAGATGGATTTGCAAGAAGAATCAAAACGCAGGCAAAGATTGCAATCTTGTTGAGAGGGGCCATTTGCGACATGGATCGATCTGGATCGAGAATGCCCTTAAATCGTCTGGTCCATGGTGTCAAACAAATCTCCATACAAAGAATCCTTTCGTTTTAACTGGAAGTAAAATGGGCGCGAACGAGCATTGGACGGCCTCGATCGCAACAAATCTTAGGGTTTAGGCGAGGATGCAGCGACGCCCAGTCAAGAGGTTGCGGTGCGTGTGTGGGAGCGATGGCGGGGAATACGATCTGGCCAAGGCAGTCAAGGCGCACGAGGCCATCGCCGCAATCGACAAGAGTAAGCTGTGCACTGCCGGTGAGATCACGGTGATTCCATATCCGGGAATTGGCAAGGCGCCGTCGATGCCCGGAGGAGATCTCCAGTTTGTAGGTCGCCGTGATCTTGAGAGCCTGGTGGAAGCAGCCAAAGAGACAAAAACGCTGCTAGTCGTTGGGCCGTGTGGAATCGGCAAGAGTTGCTTGCTCAGGGCTTTGGCTTGCGGGTGGATTCACGATGCCGCGGGGACTAATAGCAGGATTGTTTGCCTCTGGGACCTCGCGATTGCTATCGCTAAGCAGGACTTGGCAGGGTGCGTGAAGAACGCGCTGAGGTTCACGTTTTGCAAGGAGGCCGAGCTGCTGGATGAGATAGATCGCTTGGGTTCTATGCAAGACATCGCCAAGTTCTTCCGCGATCGAGTAGCAGCCGCGGGTGACGAGTTTTACTTTGTCGTCGATCAGTGGGAGATGCTTGACGCTGTTGGAGAGGAAATGCCAGTGCCAGTACCCGCCAAGGAGCTGCGGAAGAAGTTCCACAGCGATTTGTTTGCTTTGTTCTCACTTGCAGCAGTGACTGTCTTGGGGCTGTCTCGTGGGGTTGGAATGACGCAGGAGTACTTGCAGCTGCGGTATAGTCCGTGCGAACTCTTGCTCCTGGAGGATGGTTTCTACGGGGTGAGCTGTTCTACCTTGTGGATGTTTGTGTTTTGATTTCAAAAGTTTTGGTTGCCAGGAGGAGCTGACTGCTTTCCGAGACAAGCTGAGCGTTCTCGGGCTCCTTTGCTCGCGATTCCCGGAGCGCTCAATGCTTGTGGAGCATTACACAGGGAGGCACCCGTTTTCGTTGGCCGTCTTGGACAGCAGCTGCCGGAGCTATGCACTCGGCAAGCCCGTGGCCCGCGAACTACCAAGTTCGTGGTTACACCGCCGTGGTCCGGAAAGGAAGCTTAGTCCGGAAGAGGTAGTAGCATGCCTGGAGGACGAGGAGGACTGGTTGGCGGCGATTGAGACTTTCCTGTCATCGGGTGAGATGGCGCGGATCAGGTTCTCGCTTGAGTACGCACTGGCGATGCGAAGGCCGCTGCAACGGGCATGCCAGACGATAGAGGACATGGCTAAGTTTGATTCGAGTTTCATTGTTGGCAACGGGGAGGAGGGGTCTGAGTTTGTGACTGAGCACATCGCCCTAGTGTATGCAGATGTGTTTCGAACAGCGGTTCATGCCACACCAGATCCGGCATGAATTTCTCAACCTTGCATTAGCAACATCCATGAAACTTAGTGATGATAGCGTACGTGTCTGCAACTCTCGTGTCCCAATTTTGTGTCCAACCCTTGTCTTTGAAACAAAATCTGCCGCAAGTTTCTTAGACTGACAATCCAAAAGCTCTTCCAAACCATGTACAATGCGACACCGCTACAGGAATTGGCGCAAGTTTCTTAGACTGACAATCCAAAAGCTCTTCCAAACCATGTACAATGCGACACCGCTACAGGAATTGGTGAAGTACGAAGGAGTCGTGCGTTCGAATCCGTGCCCCAACATGCTTGGGAAAATAAAAGGAGTGATCAGTTTGTTTTATTTGAGGGTCCCTCTTCTTCGGGTGGGTTCGAACCCGGGATCGACTTTACAAGACTATCCCTCAGGTCCCTGGGCTGGCCAGTCTTCCCAGGGTTGATCACTTGAAAAATATTGCTTCTCTCTTCTACATGAAATAAACTTTGGTTTAGTTAAGCCTTGAGCCTTTCAAGGGTCAACACAGGGTTTACAAAGCGTCAACACATAGTCATCTTGAAAAAGAAAAGAATTGGTTTAAACATTTTCTCACAGCGTATGGCTTGGGGGTGCCGATGCTGCCGAGTACCCCAATTGTTCTATCTCCCACGTCTCTTTTGGAGCAACCGAGACGTGGTTTGGAACATAAGCCTGCCAAACAAACAAAAGATCACGAGGAAACTTGTACACAACCGAGGAAAACTTACCTCTAGTCTATCAAGGAGCTCGCCCGCAGTCGATGCGGAAATCACAATTTGCCTGGACGAAGGCTTGATGAATCCTTTCTCCGTGCCCTTGTCAAACAGGGCGAGCAGCAGATTGCAACGTTTAGCAGGCCGACCTGATTAAGAGAAAAGAGAAACGAACAAACATCAGACTTTCCATGTGAGAAAGTGCGAGATCTCTTACAGGCTTATCATGAATGCCTAACTGGGACCACGTTATCATTTCCAGCAGCTCCTCTAGCGTACCATATCCGCCTGGCAACAACGAAGAATGTGTCAACACTTTCCACAGGCTAGAAAGCGCGAGAAAACTATACCTGGAAGTGCGATAAAGGCCTCCACCTGCCGTGCCATCTCGGCTTTCCTCTGGTGCATGTCGGATACGACTTTCACCTCTCCGACTGTCTTGCCTGAAATCTAGAAAGGAAATGAAACGAGCTTTGGGGAATGAGTGCCCGTCCCGACGAGCCAGCCACATGGAAATAAATGGTAAACCTGTCGTGAGGCGTCAACGCTTTTGGGATTACTCTGCGACGAAGACAGCCAAAGGGTCAGAGGGGCGAAAAGAACGTTAAAAAACACAACAAAAAGCACTACGTACCCAGTAACGCGACAGCCACCTTCGTAAACCGCTTCCGCTATAAGTCCCATCAGTCCGACGTTGCCGCCTCCGTAAACCAGATCGATTTTCCTCTTCACCTGTAGACGCCAAACACACGCAAAGCTCGTTAGAGAACAAACCACGAAAGGGATCGCACACAACAAACTCATACAACAAATCGGGCGTGAGGAGACAAGAGCTTGGGAATATAAAGTACCACCAAAATAACGAGTTCACACGCTCAGAGAGAGCAAGCTCATCCTCCTGGCTCAACCACACCAAACATATCAATTCCATGACAGCCTGGCCACTCTCGAGCCCGCTTAAATTATACTCTGAAAGCACTCCAGGAGACAAGGAATGAATCGCCTTTTATGCACCACTCTACAGTTTCGCTCATAAGGAACGAATGTATCGAGGTAAGGAATCCAGGCACAACATCAACGCACCGGGACAGAGACCACTTTCTACGCAAACAAACCAAAAACAATGCAAGAACACTGAGAGAAAGAAGCGGAAGCAAAAGTAAACTATGGTGGTGGTCGAGCAATGCAAAAGTCGTCGTATGTGTGACGCAAAAATTGAGATTACATGAGATAAAATGAAATATTCAAGATATACTCTGTTGCAAAAGTCCTGATTTGCTTTAGTTTGGTGTGATTCGTCCAGTATTTAAAGGCATGGACGCCCCTCAGCTTAATAACTCACACTATCCAAGCAACACTAGAAAATTAAATGAAGAAAATGGCAAATCAAGCATAGCATTCGTTCTCCCATT